TGATATAAAGAAAAACCAGACCCCCTCCCTCAAGAATTTCAAATTCTTTTTTTTTTAATTATAGCCAACAGCCATTTATTAAATACTTACTATATGTAAGATATTATTCTAGGTATTGGGGAAACCGAAGTTATATGAATATAACTACAATTTACTGAAATAAAGATAGAACTGAGTACTTGGAGAAATAAGTGAGTATGGTTGTATCATGCTAATAAAATAAATTTCATCGATGTCTTTCTTTTTAGTTTTTTATATTTTTTTCCTGGGGTAATTTATTTCATTGCTCACACTTTCCTTGGATACTGTATTTGTTTATCTTTGTTGTACTTCTGTTTTTGGAGGCATTCACATAGCAAATGATCTGCTCACTCTGGGTAGTTTTTTTTTTTTGTAAACGTACAAGAAGTTCAAATTCTAGTGGGGAAGACAACGTGTAAGTAACTAGGTTCCTAAGAGATAGATACAAAGTAGATAGAAGGTCATCTCAGAAGGAAGGCAACAGCAGCTGGGAAAGGCCTCCAGCAGAAGGTACGGTTTGAGCTGAGTCTGGGAAGGATGGCAAGAGAGAGGGGGAAGTAGAGGTGAAGAGGAGGGACTTTCCAAGCATGGGGGACAGCAGGTACAAGGAGACACAGAAATAGGAACACCAAGTAAGCCATTGTAGTTGGATTATAGCGTGATAGAGGGGAGTAAAGTGTAAAAAGCCTGGAAAAGTCAGAAGGCCAAGTTATGAAGGCCTTTAAACAACAGAAGAGTTAATATTTGATCCTTAAGGTAATAAGGAGCCACTGGAGTTAAGTAGGAAAGTGACTTATACTTCCCCAACCCCACTTAATAGTATTTTATTTTTTTTCCAATTACATGCAAAGATAGTTTTCAACATTCACTTTTATAAGATTTTGAATTCTAGATTTTTTTTCTCCCTCCCTTCCCACCACCTTCCCCAAGATGGCATGCAATCTGACGTAGGCTATAGATGTACAATCATATTAAACATATTTCCACATTAATCATGTTGTGAAAGAAGAATCAGAACAAAAGGGGAAAACCGAGAAAGAAAAAAAAAGAGAGAAAATAGCATGCTTCCATTTGCATTCAGACTCTATAATTCTTTCTCTGGATGTGGATAACATTTTCCATCCTGAGTCTTTTGGAATCGGAAGATGACCTATACTTTGGAAAACTCACCTCCCTCTTGAGTAGAGGGCAGATTGGAGTAGAGAGAGAATTGAAGCAGGAGACTAATTAGAAGAGTATTGCAGTAATCCAAGGGAAGGATGGTGAGGGCCTGAGCTGTAAGGGATGTATCAGAACTAGGCAATGTGATGGGAGAGGAGGGAACCTATGTGAGAAATGATATGAAGGTAAAAGCAGAAATGGCGAGATTTGGCAAGGGATTGGATATGTAAGAGTGAATGACAGTGAGAAGTCAAGGATGACACTGAGGTGGTGAGCCTGAGTGACTGGGGGGATGGTGGTGCCCTAGATAGTGACAGTGGAATTCAGAAGAGGAGACAATTTGCAAGAAAAGATGAATTCTGTTTTGGATGTGTTGAATTTGAGATGCTGTGCTAGGCAGCTCAGGAGGCTACCCCAAATCTAGGTTATCCAGATGGCACAAATGATTGACCCAGCAAAAAAGCAAGGAGGTTAAAAAAGAATAGGTCTACTTAGTTTAGAAGGATCCAGATATTGAATACAAAACAAGGACATGGGTGGGTAATTCTGTTTCTAGTCCTGAATTAGATTCTGGCTTACTTGAGAACCTAGATCTCCTCTTCTCACCTTTACCCCAAAAGGAGATAATGCTTACAATGGTGGCTGGTGGTTGGTACAGCCTGCGTAGTGTGAAATAACACTGGGCTCTCTTGAACTGGGTAATTTTACATATCCAGGGGTTAATGTGCAAAACCTTAAGTTATATGATTGAAACAAAGCAACCTTCATTCTCTGGCTGGGAGGGGAGTACTGTCCATCAGCACCCCTAGCTCAAAGTGGTTTATAATCTTATCTGCTCTATCAGCTAAGGATTCCCCCTGTGGAATGCTATCCCTGCTTCAGCCTAGGAACTTCCCCCTTGAAATCCTGGCTGTTCGCTGAGACCTGTTTTTGGAGTTGCGATTGGATTAGTCATTGCATTAAATCTTAAGTCTTTCAAAGTTGTAGTCAGTGTAGAAATTGATGTCCTTCCCAGTTAGTGTGTAAGCTCCTTGAGGGTAGGGACTATTTTTTTCCTTTCTTTATATCCTCAGTACTTAGCACATTACGTGGCACATGGTGTTTAATAAATGCTTGTTGACTTGACTGAACATGTCACTCTGCATCCATTCATATGTCTTCTCAGGTTTCTTTGATTCCATTCATTTTGCCATTTCTTAATATTCCAATGATTCATATACCATAAATTGCTCAGTAATTTTCCAGTTGTTGGTTATCGTTGTTGAATCATTTCAGTCATGTTCAATTCTTCGTGACCCCATTTCGGGTTTTCTTGGCAAAGATACTGGAGTGGTTTGCCATTTCCTTCTCCAGCTCGTTTTTTATACATGAAGGAAAGGTGAAGAACTGAGGCAAACAGGGTCAAGTGACTTGCCCAGGGTCACACATAGTAAGTATCTGAGGCCAGATTTTATCCTGACCTCAGGAAGGGCCCTTCATCTACATCACCATCTATTGTGTTTCTAGTTCACTGATATAACAAAAGTGATGCTCTAAGTATTTTTTAATTTATAGTTCTTTTTCCTCTGTTTTTAAACAAGGTTGCAAAAAGCACATTTATGCTTTGTGTTAGGAAGAACTTCCCAACAATTTTAGCTGCCCAAAATCTAAACAAGCTATCCAAAGAGGTAGTGAGTTCCTGCTCATTTCAGGTCTTTAAGCAAAGACTGAATGACCACTTATCCAGTATTTTATAGTGAAAGTTCTGTTAGGGTATAATTTGGTCTAGATAGCCACTAAGTTCCCTTCCAATTAAAAAAAATTAGATGATCTGGAGATTCTTCTTCATCCATTTTAGTTTTGCCAATGGATTCCTCCAAACATTGGCTAGGTTGGTCTCAGTGGAGGGTGGAGTTTGATACTAGAAACACAGGACTCCAAACAGGGCTGGGTTTTCTGAAAATACTAAGTGGATTTCCACTTTGGAATTGCCTCTTAAAAGAAGAAAAATCTATTTGATTGTGTATAGACATAGAATCCATTCTTTCAGTTAAAAAAATTTTTATTTTATTAACAAACATTGATTTTCCCCCCTCATAATTTTTCCTCACCGATTTAGAAAAAAAAAAGGAAAGAAAAACCAACCTTGTAACAAATATGTATAGTCGAGGAAAACAAATTCTAAAAAAAAAAAAATCTATGTCTCATTTTGCATTGTGTCCACCACATTTTTATCAAGAGGTAGGTGGCATGTTTTCTAGTCATTTCTCTGAAATCATGGAGGGTCACTGAAGGGATGAGAGGACAAAACCCAGTCTTACCACTCCAACTTCCTCCTTACTTCTAGTCATGCCTCTTCAACTGCCAATTAGGCATCTTCAACTGCATGTCCTATAGACATCTTAATCTCAACATAAGCAAAATTTGACTCTAAATTCCCCAAACCCTCTCCTACGATTTTAGTTAAGTAACATCTTTCCTATGCGACCCCTTCACAGCTCCAGCACTGCTACCACCCTGGTCCAGGCTCTCCTCACTTCACACCTGGATTAATCTAAGAGGCTTCTCCTTGGTCCTTCTGCTTCAAGTATCTCCCCATGCCAAACCATCACTCGGCTGACCAATAGCTCTTCCCAAATTATCTCTCTCTCACACACACACACCACCCTCTATTCAATAAGCTCCAGTGAAAATGCTATCCCCAATCCAGGGAAAGAACTATGGAGTATGAATGCAGATGGAAGCATACTATTTTTCACTTTTTTTGGTTTTTCTTTCTTGTGGTTTTTCCCTTTTGTTCTGATTCTTCTTTCACAACATGACTAATGTGGAAATCTGTTTACATAATTGCACATGCATAACCTATATCAGATTGCTAGCCCTCTTGGGGAGGGGAGATGGGAGGGAGAAAAAATTTAAAACTCAAAATCTTACAAAAAAGGAACGTTGAAAACGTGAAAAACAAACAAATAAGCCAATAAACTCCAGTGGCTCCAATTATCTCAAGAATCAAATATAGGATCCTGGTAGGCTTTTTAACCTCTTCATAACCTGACCTCCTCCTACCTTTCCAGTCTTCTTATATCCCACACCTCTTCCCCCAATGCTTCCTTCACTCCGCAATTCAGTGACCCTGGCCTCCTGGCTGTTCCTAGACATCTCCAGACTCCAAGCCTTTTTCTCTGGCTGTGCCCTATGCCTGGTAAGCTCTCCCTCTTCATGTCCATCAGCTTGCTTGCTTCAGGTGCCATCATTTATTGGAAGTCTTTTCTGATTCCCCCTTAATGTCCTCCTTCTGTTAATTATTCCCATTTTCTCCTGTCTATACTTGGTTGTTTGCATGTCTTTTTCCCCATCAGACTGTGCGCTCCTTGAGGGCAGGGACTGTTTTATTTTTCCCTAAGTTTGTATGCCTAGCATTTAGCACAGTGTCCAACACACAGTAGGTGCTTTATAAATGCTGCTTGATTAGATTTGTTTGCTCTGCAGGAACAAACAGAACAGTGGGAAGTGTTATTCTGGGGAGAAATGCGTGGTGTACTTTGAAATGGAGACAGCCCTTGGGAATTATTAGTCAAGGTCAAGATGGGGCTTGTGGGGGCAAAGGCAGGAGAAGGGAGGAGTGGCTAGGCTTGGCCTCGACCTTGAAGAGGGTCTGGACAGCAGGAGGTGCAGAGGGAGCGGGATGGGGGGGGGGGGGGGGGGGGGTGACGCATGCGCAGGAGCGCCCCGTGCGTCCGCTCCCCGGATCCTCCACAAACATCGCCCCGACTCCTTCGCGCCTGCCTCGTTCTGGTCAGAGAGGCGTCCTGTGCGCAGGCGCCGCTCTCGGAGGCATCATGGCGGCGGCGCTGCTGCTGCTTTTTTCGCTCCGCAGCCGGCCGGGCCGATGGCGGCTCCAGGCCGCGGGATGCAGCTGGAGCCTCAGGCCAGTCACCGCCGCGGTCGCCGGGCTCGGGGGGAGGCAGTTCTACTGCACCCCGAGTGGTCCTGCTGGGTCTGGCGACCGAGTCCTACAGGTAACTTCCTGGGCCTGTCCCGTGAGCTCCGCCCGCGGGGGGAGGGGTGGTGGTGGTGAGGAGTAGGCCCCGCCCCCAAGCCCAATCTCTTCCCCCCATCCTTACTGGTTGTAGCGAGGCGGGTCCTCCTTCCCACCCCTCAAACTGGCATCCGTCTTCACTGACTTTCGGTTCTGGCTCCAGCCTCCACAAACACGGCCTTGTCAAGCGCTTCCTATGTGCCAGGCACCGTGCTACGCGCTGGGGAAGCAGCCCCTGCCCTCGAGGAGCTTCCATTATAACGGGGGAGACAACGTGCAAACAGTTGGGTATAGTACCAAATGTAGGCAGAGTGGAGGGAGGGAGAAGGGAAGCTAGGAGACAAGCGAGGAGGGCAGAGCATTCCAAGGATGGGGAACAGCCAGTGAGGAAGGCATAGACTCAGATCAGTCACAGCTGGAAAACACCTTCAAGCTTTGTGAGTCCCGCTCATGAATTTTACCTTTGGGGAAACTGAGACCCAGAGAGTAGCAGAGAGAGCTTTTGAAGCCACGTGTTCTAGCTTCCCATCCAGGGTTCTTTTCTCCTACTTTCCCCTTTTTTTACGGTCTGAGGCCTATGGACCCTTTATTTCCATTCTTCTTTCTTCTAATGATTATGAGCATGGGGGCTTCCAGGAGTTCTATTTGTTCTTCCCATTCATGGATACTCTCTGGATCTGATTGTAATCAGTGTTGTGAAATGTCTACATAACTATCTGTTGGGCCATTGCTCACCTGCTTATATTCTCCATCACTACTATCAGTAGCATCCCAGGTGACCGCTCCCCACCGCTGAATAGGAGGGTGTATTTATCTCTATTTGCATTAGTACTAGGAGAGACTTGTTCTGCTTGGCCTTGAAGTACAGAGATAGAATGAATAGAAGTTGGATGAAACCTTTAACCTATTCATAAGAAAAAGTCTCTGAATAAGTAGAGTGGTCTAAAAATGAAATGAGTTGTCTTAAGCAAAAATAATAATACGGTTCATCTCTGCTTAACCATTTTTTTTTCTGTTATGGACCCTTTTGACAGTCTGGTGAAGTCTATGACCCCTTTTCAGAATAATGATTTTAAATGTATAAAATAGAATATATAGAATTAAAAAGGGGAAGGGAATAAGCATTTGTTATGTGCCTACTATTTATCAGTTACTGTGTTAATCACTTTACGAACATCTTATTGAATCTTCACAACAACCCTGAGAAGTAGCTGCTTTTATTATCCCTGTTTTACAGTTGAGAAAACTGACGCAGCCAGCAGTTAAAGTGACTTGCTCAGGGTCACATAGCTAGTAAGGCAGGCAGTTAAAATTCAGGTTTTCCTGACTCCAGGACTGGCTGTCTAGCCACTCTACCACCTAGCTGCCTTTTTCCAATCATATAGAAATACAGTTTCAAAATATTTAAAAATATTTTGAGGCCCGTGGACCTCAGATTAAGAATTCCTGACTTAGTGCTTTACAGTTTGTGAAATACTTTATGTGCATGATTTCATTTGAGTCTTTTCCTGGCCCTACTAGGTAGATAATGAATACCTCGCCATTAGAAGTCTTAGTTTGGAGGCTGGATAATGACTTTGGGGATGTTGTAGAGAGAATTCCTGTTTAGGTACAGGTTTGATCTGGGTGTCCTTGAGAAAATCATGTAACTCCCTATGGTTCTCAGTATCATGTTCTATAAATTGAGGGGGTTGGACTCAGTGACCTTTGGTTGTTGTTCAGTCCTTTCAGTCATATCTGACTCTTCCTGATCCCATTTGGAGTTTTCTTGCCAAAGATACTGGAGGTTTGCCGTTTTCTTCCCTAGCTCATTTTATAGATGAAGAAACCAAGGCAGACAGGGTTAAGTGACTTACCCAGGGTCACACAGCTACTAAGTTTCTGATATCAGATTTGGACTTAGGAAGATGACTGTTCCTGACTCCAGGGCTAGCACTCTATCTACTGCCCCACCTCACTGCTCCACTAAATGATCTAAAGATCATCTAAGGTCCTTTCTCACTCTAATTATGTGAAACATGTTTTGTTTATGGATGTGATGCTGTGAAATATTAACTGAATTCCCACTATGTGTGTGTTGCATGTGTTCTGTAAGCTGCCTCCCCTTTTTCTGATTGGTCTTTTCCTCTCAGTACTTCACTTTTAAGGAAGTGTACAGGCCAGCCCAAGCCAGCCATGTCTTCTCCAGGCTCCATTCTTAATTCTTTCATTCCTTTTCAGCTTCCTTTTATGTATTGTCTTCCACTATTAGAATTGTAAGCCCCATGAGGTCATGGACTGTCTTTATTTCTATTTTATTTGTATTCTCAGAGGTTACACAATGCCTGGCACACAAGAAATGGTCCTTGACTAACTGGAAGGACCATTAGAGGCTGTGTCTGGGAGGACCTCAGCCACTGAACACTCTCTGGGACCATTTGCCCTCATTTCTCCTTGAAGTTTTTAATCTGCCACCTTTCTCATGTCCTATCCCTTCCCCTATTTTCATGTCTTTCTCAGACAACTGGAATCAAATCATCACTGTTTTTACCAATGAAAAAGGTGACCACAAGAATTGGAAATTGAGGGAATGTCCATCAATTGGGGAATGGCTGAACAAGTTGTGGTATATAAATGTAATGGAATACTATTGTGCTATAAGAAATGATGAGCGGACTTCAAAAAAACCCGAAAAGACTGATAGAATTGATGCTGAATGAAATGAGCAGAACCATTGTACACAGTAACAGCTACATTGTGCTACAGCTGACTTTTATAGACTTAGCTCTTCTCAGCAATGCAAGAATCTAAGACAACTTCAAAAGACTCACAATGGAAAATGCTATCCACATCTAGAGAAAGAACTTTGGAGTCTGAATGTATATGGAAGTATACTATTTGCTCTCCTTTTCTTTTGTTGTTTTGTTGTTGTTTTGTTTTGTTTCTTCTTTCTCATGGTTCCTCCCATTCATTCTAATTCTTCTTTACATCATGACTAATGTGAAAATATGTTCAATATGAATATATAATAGAGCCTATATCAGATTGCATGCCGTCTTGGGGAGGAGGAGGGGAGAAGGGGAGAAAACTCAAAATCTTATGGAAGTGAATGTTGAAAACTAAAAATAAATAAATTAATTATTAAAAAAGAAAGAAAAAATTGAACACAACCCTCTTTCCTGGCACCTAGATGGTGCAGTGCAAAAAATGCTAAGCCTGGAGTTAGAAAGATCTGAGTTCAAATGTGGCCTCAGACATTTTACTCCTGTGTGTCCCTGGGCAAGTCATTAACCTCTGTCTGCTTCAGTTTCCTCTACTGTAAAGTGGGGGTAATAATAGCACCTACCTCCCAGGGTTGTAGTGAAGGTCAAAGGAAATATTTGTAAAGTGCTTAGCACAATACTTAGCACATAGTAATTACTTAATAAATGCTTGCTTCCTTCCTACCATCCTATTAGTTTGGTCTTCCCTATTAGAATGTAAGCTTTTTGAAGTTTGTTCTCTCTCTCTCTTTTTTTTTAAGGCAATTGGGGGTAAGTGACTTGCCCAGGGTCACACAGCTAGTGAGTGTCAAGTGTGTGGTCTGAGGCAGGATTTGAACTCAGGTCCTCCTGACTTCAGGGCCAGTACTGTAGCCACTGTGCCACCTAGCTGCCCGGTCTCTTTTTTTAAAAAAAGTTTTTTCTTGACGTCATTTTTACATCACTGTAATTTTCCCCAGTATCCTTTCCTCTCCTCTACCCAGAGATCCAACCCATATAACAAAGCATTTTTTTAAGATAGAAAAAAAAAGGAAAAATCAGCATAACTGATCAGTGTATAGAAAAAGTCTGAAAATTTGTGCAATGTACAATACTGTGGGCCTCCCTCAAAAAAGGTGTGTTCAGGAGTCTTTTATTTCTTATTTTAAGTCATGTTTGTTCTTTAATTAGTTTGCAACATTAACTTGATTTTTTTTTCTTAATTCTTTCCCTTTACATTGCTGTAGTCCCTGTGTATACTCTTTTCTTGGCCCTGCTTACTTCACTCTGTGTCAGTTCATATAGATTTTTCTTTTTTTTTTATTTATTTTTATTATTATTTATTTTTTTATTTTTTGGCTAGGCAATGGGGTTAAGTGACTTGCCCAGGGTCACTCAGTTAGGAAGTGTTATGTGTCTGAGGCCGGATTTGAACTCAGGTCCTCCTGAATCCAGGGCCGGTGATCTATCCACTGTGCCACCTAGCTGCCCCCCATATAGATGTTTCCAGGCATCTCTGTGGAGGCAGGTAGGTGGGCCACTGGATAGAGCATTGGACTTGGAGTCAGGAGGACCTGAGATCAAATCACACTTAGTAGCTGTGTGACCCTGAGCAAGTCACTTAACCCTGTTAGCCTCATTTCCTCATCTGCAAAATGAGCTGGAGAAGGAAATGGTAAACCTTAACTCTAGTATCTTAGCCAAGAAAATCCCAAATGGGGTCAAAAGAATTGGACAAGACTGAAAAACAAATAAACAATAACAAGACTTCTCTGTAGTCATCATTCACATCATTTCTTACAGCACAATAATATTCCATTAAATTCATGTGCTGCAATTTGTTTAGCCATTCCCCAATTGATAGATGATGACTTGGTTTCCAGTTCTTTGCTACCACAAGTACTGCTATAAACATTTTAGTGTATTGGGGAACTTTCTTCTTCTTCTTCTTTTTTGGATAACGCAATTGGGGTTAAGTGACTTGCCCAGACTCACGTAGCTATGAGTGTTACGTGTCTGAGGTCAGATTTGATCTCAGGTCCTCCTGACTCCAGGGCCACTGCTATATTCACTTCACCACCTAGCTTCCTCCAGTGACTTTTCCTATCAGTGATCTCTTGAGGGTATAAGCCCAGTAATGGAATCTTTGGGTCAAAGTATATGGACATTTTCTTCACTTTCCATAAGAGCTGTGGTGAGTAACAGCTACACCAAAGATGCCTTAGTGTGTCTTTCTTGTCACACTCCCTCCTATATTTGGAAGGTGCAACCTCTAAGTTTTTTTATGTGCATCTTATTAGTGATTTGTATTATTCTTTCATGTGATTGTGAATAGTTTGCAATTCTTCTGAGAGCTGTTTGTTTATATACTTTGACCATTTATCCTTTGGGGAATGCCTGAGGCTTATCTCTTAATTAGAGCCTAGAGACTTTCATCCTTTTTCTTTTAGGCTGGGGAAGGACTGTCTAGCTTTCTATTTGAATTCCCTGCCCTTGGTACAGTTTTTGGCACAAAGCATTTAATAAATGTTTTTCATTCATAGTTTTAAAAAATGTATTTATACCTTTTGTTTCTACATTGCCTAAATTTTCTGATACGTCCATCCCTCTCCTCCTCGCAGAGAGCCATCCAATATAACAAAGATTTTTTTAAAGAAAAAAGTTTTTACAAAACTCATCAATACATTTTAAAAATTTCAATAAAAATGATCAGTATATTAAAAAAAAAAAACCTGGCAATACATGCAGTGTTCCACACCTGTAGACCTCCCCCATCTTAGCAAAGGAGAAGGGAAGGTTTCTTTTTCTTTCTTTTCTTTGGGACCAACCTTGTTTTTGTAATTTTGCAACATTCACTTTTGATTGTTTTGTGGTGGTTGGTCTTGCCATTGACGTTGTTATAGTTGTGCTTATTATTTTTCTGACTCTGCTTACTTCTCTTTTAATTAGTTCTTGTAGGTCTTTCTTTGGCGCCCCCCTTTTTAAAGTCATGTTCATTGTTTCTTCTTCTTTTTTTTAATTAGTTTATTTTTAGTTGTCAACATCCATCTCCATATGCTTTTGAGTTTCCAATTTTTTCCCCCCCTCAGACAGTGTGCAAACTGATATAGGCTCTACATATACATTCCTATTAAACATATTTTCACAATTAGAACCAATAGGAGGAACCACAAGAAAGAAGAAACAGAACAAAACAGAAGGGAAAAAAGGAGCAAATAATATGCTTCGATCTGCATTCAGACTCCATAGTTCCCTCTCTGGATGTGGATAGCACTTGCCACCATGAGTCTCTTGGAGATGTCTTAGATCCTTGCATTGCTGAGAAGAGCTAAATCTATGAAAGTTAGTCATTGTACAATGTGGATGTCACTTGTGTACGATGTTCTCCTGGTTCTGCTCACTTCACTCAGCATAAGTACATACAAGTCTCTGGGTTTTTCTGAAGTCAGCCTGCTCATCATTGTTTCTTCTTGTTTAGTTGTGTCCTACTCTTTATGAGCCTGTGGACCTTATGGTTCTTGGTCAAAGATTCTGGAGTGGTTTACTATTTCCTTCTCCAGTGGATTAGGCAGACAGGTTAAGTGACTTGCCTAGGGTCAAACAACTAGTAAGTATCTGAGGTCAGATTTGAACTTAGGTCTCCCTGACTCCAGACCCAGTATTCTACCCATAGAGCCATCTAACTGCCTCTTTCATTGCTTCTTACAACATAGTAATATTCTGTTAAGTTCATGTACCACAGTTTATTTAGACATTCACTGTTAAATGGTACCTAGTCTTGTTTCCAGTACTTTGCTGCTCTAAATATGTTAGAGCATATGGAGGGAGCCCTCCCACCATCCTTTTTGCCAGTGACCTCCTTGGGATAAAAACCTACTTGTGTAACCTATGGTCAAGGAATATGGACATTTTAGCTACTTTATTTGAGTAACTACAAATTGCTTTCCAAAATGGTTGTACTAATTCATAGCTCTATCAGCAATGCAGTAGAATGCCTATCTTACAACTCCTCTGACTATGGCTATTCTCATCTTTTAACATTTTTTTTAATTTGCAGTGTGTGAAGTGAAACCTCAGGATTGTTTTGATTTGCATTTCTTTTACTAGTGACTGGGAACATTCTTTCATAAAATTAAAAATGTTAAATTCTTCCTTTGAGAATGCTCGTATCTCGTTTGAACACTTATCTATGGAGTAATGGCTCTTGGTCTTGTATATATTCTGTACACTTCTGTTAGTTACCAAATGCTTGTTCAAAAAATTTGACAAAGCTGTTTTTCCCATTTAACAGTTTCCTTCCTTATCTTAGATACATTGTGTTTGTGCAGAAACTTTTTCCATTTTATTTAATTAAAATTCTTTTTTGGGGCAGGTAGGTGGCACAGTGGATAGAGCACCGGCCCTGAAGGCAGGAGGACCTGAGTTCAAATGCGGCCTCAGACACATAACACTTACTAACTGTGTGACCCTGGGCAAGTCACTGAACCCCAGTGCCTAGCAAAATAAATAAATAAATAAATATATGTATATATATTTTTTATTCATTTGTTGTCTGTATGTATGTATACATCTATAGGTAAAATACCTTTTTTTTTTTTTTGGTTAGCTAGGTGACCCTGGGCAAGTCACTTAACCCGGTTTGCTTCATTTTCCTGGTCTGTAAAATGGAAGTAATGATTTTTGTCCGCCTGCGTCCCTACCTCATAACCTCGTTGTGATGGTTAAGTGAGATACCATTTAAAATCCTTTGTAAACTTAAAGCATTATGTAACTGTAATTATTTCTTACTTGTAATGTAGCTAAGTGATGCCACTAATCTAGAAAAGCTTGTCATATCCACAAGCCAGTTTTTATGTCCTTGATCTTTTCACTAGGAAAAGGTTAAGCATTAAAGAGCAGTTAGTGGATCAGTTTGTATTAATTCAGCAGACACTGCTAACAAAGAGAACAAATGAATATGGGGTAGTATTTCTGTGGCACAGCTGCAAGTACAGTGAGGTGGTGCAGTAAATAGAGTGGTGGGCCTGGGCTCAGGAGGACTCATCCTCCCGACTTCAAATCTGGCCTCAGACACTCACTAGCTGTATGACCCTGGGCAAGTCTCTTAACCCTGTTTGCCTCAGTTTCCTTATCTGTCAAATGAGCTGGAGAAGGAAATGGCAAAGCACTCCAGTATCTCTGCCAAGAAAAGCCTAAATGGACTCAAGAAGAGTTGAACACAACTGAAACACCTGAACAATAACAACAACACTATTTTACTTTGATCCCTGATATTGTTTTTTTCTTTCAGAGTTTACTTTTGAGGACATTGTCCCCTACCTTTCAAGGAATCAGAGGATTGTTATTTAAACAACATCTAATTCAGAATCCAGTCAGACTCTGGAAACTTCTAGGTATGGACCTTTTGTGTGAACCTTTTGAAAAGCCCCGCCATCGTAGTAACAGGAGCAATAGCAGTAATAATAGGTGTCATCTGGTGCTTTAGAGTTTGCAGAATCGTCCACATGTTCTCTGCTGAGTCTCTGTGAGGGAGATGTGAAACTGAGGCTTTCAGAGGTTCTGTCTTCCCCAGAGTCACACAACCAGGTCAAGGATCTGAGCTGTTTCAAACCCAAGTTTTTCTGACTCCCAAGTCCTTTTGGGCCTGTGCAGTGTTTGCCTTTCAACATATACGTGAGGGAGCCAAAAACAAGGCATAACGACCCCTCTGTATAGCTGTGTGACCTTATATAAGTCATTTGACCTTGGGTCTCAGTTTCCACAGGGATGAAATGAAAGCCTTTAAGAGTTCTCACAGTTCTAAAATGACATTATTCTAAATTAGAAATAGGTAATAATGTTGCCAGTGTGATATTGGCAAAAAAGTTTAGCTGTCTCTTCATTTGGTGATAAGAGGCATTGTGACGTAGTGGCTACAGAGTTGGCCTTGAGTCAGGAAGACCTGGGTTCAAGTCCATCCTTTGACACATGCTAGCCATGTGACCCTAGGCAAATGTCAACCTTTGCTGGTACAGATTCCTTCCCTGGGAGTTGCCTATGTCAGTGAAATCACAGATCTCCTTCTTCAAGGTGACTGAATAGTGCAGTGGCTAGAGCTCTGGGCCTAGAGTCAGGAAGACCTGAATTTCAATCCAGTTTTAGACACTTCCTTGCTCTATGATTCTGGGCAAGTCATTTGCCTCTCTGCCTCAGTTTCCTTAACTGAAAAAATGGAGATAATAAGTATCTCCCAGGGTTGTCAGGAGGATTGTTAGATAATATTTGTAAAATTTTAACACAATGTCTGGCACATAATAAGTTCTAATAAATGCTTATTTCTTTCATTTCCTTCTGTCCTATACCTAGTCATTTGACTGTGAAGAAAAATTTTCACTTCTGCTCTAGAAGTGAAACAATAAAACAATCGTTTTATTCTTTGTATTCCTAGTGCTTAGTGAAGTGTCTAGCACATAATTGGTACTTGAGAAATGTTTGTTGAATTTCGTCCATCGGTGAAATTCATATTTCGTCAGAATATGCTAGAATGAATTAAGGAAGGACAATATATTTAAAGTCTGAATGGTATTTTTCTTTTTTTTTTTTTTTTTTTTTGCTTGATATGGAGTTGCTTTGATTTTTATGTAATATTTTTCATGTAGCAATAAGTGACATTGTACTACTTGAAAAATAAATAAATGTTGAGTTTCTAAACTTTTTATTGTAAATTTCAACTAAAATAAACCTTCAGATATGTAAACAAGAATAAAAAAGATTGTTCCCAAAACTGTATGAATCTGTTTTTCCATGTTGTCTTTGGCCTTCTGTCAGCTGTTGAAGGAAGTAGCTGTGTTGCAGATCTGCAGTGTTGCTGTGAATGTTTTAAATTCAGAATGGAACTGAAAATAAACTACAAAGAATTTACCGCTTAAAATAGAGAGGTATTGCCCTTTAGTGAGTCACTCTACTACTTGGCTGACCTCCTACCTAAAACTTTCTTTTAGTCCTTGGTTAAGGAACCTTTAGCATAGATACTGTATACCTCTTGTTCAGCTTGTTTTTATTGTGGAGAAGCAGAAAAAGATTGAAAAATGTAGAATCCTAATTACCAGCAAGCAGCCTGCTATCCATATGTGATAATGGAGAGTGTGTATGTCTGCCAATTGGTTTTGAGTCAGTAGCTTGCACATGTGAATTCTGTGTGGTTTTTCCTTTTAAAATGTGAGAAACAGAGGAAGGTGGCATATATCTTCATGACTTCAAAATAATCCTTTTAGTATGTGACAGTGACTCGCAAACAAGGTTCATTTGTAGTTCTATCAGCATTCCTATAAAGGTAGTTACAGTTTACTCCACTGCTTTGAAATGTGTGTGTGTGTTTATAAAAATAAAATTTTGCTAAGAGCTATTCTCTTGTCCAAAGGCCTTAGACAAACTGAGGCCTTTAGTGTAGAAGTTGCTGTCTTTTTGACATATCCTAGTGATAGTGACAAGAAAGTTACTGATAATGCTTCATTCAAGGAAGCTACTTGTTTGTGAGTTCCTAAGAGATAGAATGGCAGGGTGGATAGAGGTGCACCCTTGGAGTCAGAAAGATCTGAGTTAAAGGCCTTCCTCTGAAACATGTTAATTGTATTTCCGTTGCTGATTCTATTAACCTCTCAGACAGGGTCCCTTGCAGCTCTCTAAGACTGAAAGTTAAAAATGAATTGCCCAATATGTATTGGTGGAGCCACTTTCCACCTTAAATGGTAGGTCTGGACAAAAAAATTATTTTCCACATTAATGGTCCATTTAAAGAGCTTTAATCGTCTTCTGCAACATCTTCCCAACACATTTCCATAATCACTGGATATGATTGCTCTACCTTAGCTTTTTTAAACAGCATCATGGGGAAAATTAGGTTTAAATCATTCATCACATAAGTCACACTCATTCATTTTATCCAGTGAATGGGTAAAATTTTTCAGATGCTTTGCTTTGTTTCACTCATTTCATCATGTGGTAAGCTTTTTTTTTCCTCTGTAGTTTCATGCCTTGACACTAAATACTGCACATATTCCTTGTAGGTGGCACTTCTTATTTTAGTACCTCCAGGATGAAGCAAAAGAATAAGGAGAAAGAAAAATCCAAGGGAAAAATACCAGAAGATGATGAAGGTAGGTCTGAGATTTTGAAATAGTTGTTATACCTGGTGTTCAGAAATCACTTGACTCTTCTTAGTACAGACACACTAGTAGTGTGCAAAGCCAGCCTTACAAAGAGTGGCGTTTATGAGATGTCACATTTGTATGTGTTGGTTGGGTTTTAATTGGCATTTCAATTCATTTGGTCTTTTCCAACTTTGTATATACATCTTTAATTTATGGAATACCACATTCCTTATGAAATATGTTTATAAAATTTATTTCATTTCTTTCTTAATTTTAAACAAGTAGTCCCATATCTGACTCCATCCTTCTTGTAAGTTATTTCATTTATCTATTTCTCGGATTCCTTTTGTTTCCTCAGTAGACACATACACAAGTTTATGTATTGGATATAATCATACTTTTGGCTCTACACACACCTTGATGTTCTCCCACATTTGGAGTTTATCTCCATGGATGTTTGGAGTGATGGGGAGGAATGAATGAGGATGATTTAGCCAAAAGTGCCCAACTGCCAGCCTTGGTCTGATGACTACTGCTGACTTTACCCTGGGAGCTACTCCAAGAGGGCTGACATAATGGAGAGAAAAGAATAGGTAAAGGTACCATCTCTTTGGACCTCTAAAAACAGGGGGATGGATTTCCTTCAAGGCTCGTTTCAGCTGCCACCTCTTTTGTGGAGCCTTCCTTGACCCACTTTCCAGTGGTTATTGCTCTCTCCCTCTTCAAATTACTTTCAATTTTCTTATCTGTGTCACATGTTTTTCCTTTTCTCTCTATCCTTGTCCCCTTCAGTGTATTCTTCCCCTCCCCCCATGCACCTTAAGGTCAGGAATTATTTATAGTTTTGTTTATATATGTCTAATCCTAGCACATAACTTGCACAGTGTCTCATACAGTTTTTTGAATTGAATTGAAAAAAATTCAAGCACTACCTGCATTCTACAGCTGTAAGAGGACCTTAGAGATATACACTTGACTTATGCTCCAACTTGGTATGGTCATGTCAAAAAGCACTGCTTTAATCGATTTTTTCTGAGGTCTCCAGATAAAAGAGAAAGCCATCAATATGTCTTTTGGGAATCATCAGTGTTCATGAAGTTCAGACATTTGAACTTGTCTAGAGTAGATGTTTTGTGCCAAAAATAAAAGCCTCCAGTGAAGATCAGAACTCTTTGGAATCTCCAGGACCCTAAAGTGTATAGTGGTGTCGGAGGAAGCTCAGTTGTCTCTACATCTGGGATTCATATTCTTCCTTGGAGCTGCTATTGTTCTTGTGGTGCAGTTTAGCAACCCCTCCTTACCAGCTTCTCTGTGCCTTCCCCTTATCGACTTGAGTCATCAGTGGCAGACCTTAAGTCCACTGAAATTTCCTTTCTCCCCATCTCCCAACACTCATAAGAATGGGTTACAAAACTGAATGACCAGGTTAGTTTATTTGATTAAAATATTTCATTCTATAACCTAATGAAAGTCTTTAGAACTTAGGTACAATGAGAGAAACAAAAGCAGGGCTGGTTTCATTGGTTATTTTAATATAATGCCTCCATCTTAAACATGGAGTTTAACTATGGAGACACTCTCAGTGCTTCTTGTATCTAGATCTAAGCTGCTTGTATCTAGATAAAGCATAGCTTGCTAAGGCTTGTAGTTTTCTTAAGTAATACCTTCACATTAAGTTTGAGAAGCTATTTAGATACAAGTTAAATGAAACATTTATTATGAACTTACTCTGCTAAGCCCTGGGGATACTTTATAAGCAAGCAAGCAAGCAAGTTCCTGCTCTTAGTGAGTTTACATTCTCACGAGGGAAGAGGACACCTAAAGTAGGGCGGGGCAGAGGCATTTCTCTGGTGGCATGATGTGGAGATAGCAGTAGCCTGGCTTCCTTTGTGTCTTAAGGATTAACTACTATTAGAAAAAATATTTCCAAAAGGTAGTTCACTGTTCTCTTTAAAAGCTGCTGAATCACAATATGTCAACAGGTTTTAGTAGCTTTTCCTTTGTGGTCTGGAGTGGAGTTTGACCTAAATATTTCTTATTACTATCTCTGACTTTGGTGGTTTTGGCAGTAGTTACAGATGCATCAGATAATTGACTATTCTTTGTAATTTGATTTTGTGAGTTGTACTTTCCTGGGGCAGAGTTAGAAGTTCCAGGTTTTAAGTTCAACTTCTATTGCTAGCTAGAAAATCTCATGATTGCTTTTTTTTAAGGTTCTGAATTTTTATTATGAATTTAGCAAACACATAATAAAATAGACATTTCCACATACATAGAATATAAAAAGATTGTATATATACTACTTGATTTTTCTTTTACAGATAGTGTAATAAATTCATCGTGTAACTTTCAAAACTCTTATGTCTGTGAGATTTTTCTGGCCTGTTTTCTTGTGCACATTTTAGAAAAGCTTCATCAGTTCTCTTTTCTTCTGTCTCTTCCTCTCTCTCCATCTTTCCCTTCCTCCCTTTTTCTCCTGATTCTGTTCACTTTTCTCCGCATCATTTCAAACAAGAAGTAATTCCAGCTTTCTTTGAATCTGTCCCTGTGTCATTTCTTTTGGCAGAATGCTTTTACTATTTTTGCTTTCAAGTATTTTTGTACGTTTAGATGGTATTTCTCTTTCTTTGTTCTCTTTGGGATATAGGTCTTGTAGTAATATCATTGAGTCAAAGGGTATAGACAATTTAGGAACTTTTTTAGGAACAGTTCTAAATTGCTATTTACCAACAGTATATTAACGAGCTTATTTTCCTACATCTCTGCCACACTTAACATTTTCCTTTTTTGTCGTCTTTGCTGATGTTCTTTTCATTTGCATTTCTCCAATTATTAATGATTTGGACCATTTAAAAATATGATTGTTGCTAGCTTGAATTTCTTTTGTCTGTTCATATCCTTTAATTACTTATCTGTTAGGGAATGGCTTTTGTTCTTATATCTTGGGTATGAAACTTTTGTCATAGAAACTTGCTACAAAGATTTTTTTTCTCTATATAATTGTTTCCCACTAATTTAATCTGGATTGCTTTGTTTGTACAAAACTTTTTCAATTTTAGGCAGTCAAAATTGTCCATTTTATCCATTCCATCCCTTTTTTTGGGCATCAACCAAATCTCCTATCCTTAAGATATTTAAGTTGTTTAAGATAATTCCTTTCTTGCTCTCTAATTTATGATGTGACCTTTAATATCCAAAATATGGATCCATTTTCAGCTTATCTTACTATATGGTGTGAGATGCTGTCATATACCTAATTTCTGTCTGACTTTTCCTAGCAGTTTTTGTCAAATAGTGCCTATTTCCCTTAGTAGCTGGGGTCTTTGGGTTTACTGATCACACTGTGCTACTATGTTTATTTGCTTCTGTATCTTGTCTACCTAATCTGTACCTCTGATACACTTCCCTTTTGACCAGTGGCAAATAATGTTGATGTTTACTGTTTTGTAGTATTGTTTGAGATCTAGTACTGTAACTCTTCCTTCTTTCCCAATTTTTTTCCTTTATTTTACTTGAGATTCTTTACCATTTATTTCTTAGATAAAATTTGTTACTACTTTTTCTACCTTTAAAGTAATCCCTTGGCAGCTTGAATGGTAGGGCACTGAATAGCTAAATTAATTTAAATAATATTGATTGTCATTTTTATTACATTGTGTCAGCTTATCCATGAGCAATTAATATTTCTCTAATTATAGAGGTCTCTCTATAAAGATTGCTTTGTAATTATATTGATGTAGTTCCATGTATGTCTTGCTAGATAGAGTCCCAAATATTTTTTAAGATCTTGAATTATAGGGGCAGCTAGGTGGCGCAGTGAATAGAGCACCGGCCCTGAAGTCAGGAGGACCTGAGTTCAAATACGGCCTCAGACCAAACACTTGACACTTACTAGCTGTGTGACCCTGGGCAAGTTACTTAACCCCAATTGCCTTAAAAAAAAAAATCTTGAATTATATAGAATGAAATATCTCTTTCATCTCGTTCTACTGGATTTTATTGAAAAAATGCAGAGATGCTGATGAGTTATAGGGATTTGTTTTATATCCTGTAACCTTGCTGAACTTATTTCAGTTAATTTCTTACTGAACTCTTTTGGGTTATTAGATGGACCACATCATGTGCAAAGAGTAATAGTTTCATTTCTTATTTACCTATGCTTATTTCTCTGATTGCTTTTATTTGTCTTATTGCTATCGGTAGCATTTCTAATACCACATTATGTAAGTTATGATAACCAACCTTTCTTTATTGTGTACATTTTTTAATTTTAGTTTTAGATGGATACTACTTATCATGTTAAGGAAAGATCCATTTATTCCCGTGTTTTCTTGTGTTTTTAACAAAAATAGTTTGACTTTGTCAAAAGTTTTTTCAGAATCTATCATAACTATATCTTTTAAAATTATTTTGTGTTATTAGTATAATAATAAGAATATGTCTATCATGCTTATTATTTTCCTTATGTTGAACCAACTCTGTATTCCTGGTATAAGTCCAACACAGTCATAGTGTGTATAATCTTTTAAAGATGTTGTTATAACATCCTTGTTAATATTTTTAATATTTTTGCATCCGTATTCATTAGGAATTAGTCTATAGTTTTCTTTCTCTGCTTTGTCTTTCCCTGGTTTAGGTGTAAAGACCATAAATGTGTTATAGAAAGAGTTTGTATGCTTCTTTTCTTATTTTTTCATAAAGTTTGTGTAATATTGAAATTAGTTGTTCTTTGAATGTTTGATAGAATTCACTTGTAAATCTATCTGGTCCTAGAATTTCTTCATTGGGAAGTTCATTTAGAGCTTGTTTGCCCCTGGGCAAGTCACTTAACCCCGGTTGCTTCACCAAAAAGCAAAAAAAAAATTTAAAAAAAATGACAGCTCTATTTTGGCTGTGATATTCCTAGAAGTTTTTATTTTGGGTTTCTTTTAGGAGGTGACCAGTGGATTTTTATTTTCTGTTTTCACTTTTTCCTTTGGTTCTAATAGATGGAGAAATTTTCATTT